GTCGGCACCAATGGTCTGCTGCCCAATTTACTGTTCAGCCTAATCAACCAGGACCTGCCTGCACACAGGTTGCTTGATTTTGCCAATATTTAGCAGCTTAATATGTCTGCCTGAACTACTTACACATTAGGTGGAGATGTAGTTCAGCCAAAGGCACTGGCCGTGTGGGACACTGGGATGGAAGGGACCCAAAGTAGATTGCCTCAAGCTCCTGTGGCAGCTCTTGTAGACAGAGATGGATTTTGATCTGAAGAAAGCTAAAGTGGTTTTGTTTAACCAACTGTTTTTCTCACTTTTATGTTACCTAGCCTATAATATCACATTTTGGTTTGATTTTCCTCAGTGCAAATGCTAAAGTCTTTAAGCGCCAACCAGGAAATTTTGTGGAGGGTATTTGCTGATTAAAAAAGCCCCAGATCTCACTGTTTTTACATCCTTTATCTACCATGCATTCAGTCCTAAGAAAAAATTAGTATTATAGTATTATAGTCTGCATCATTATCCTGCTTCCTTTGATCTTAGCACTGTTTTGGCTATTCAGCTGGATTAAAAATTGTAGAAGAGCAGCCATATACATCTCAGTTAAATGTGAGTATTGTATGTAACCGAGAGGGATGTTTGACAATGTGTTGTGTATGAGATAGGATTGGGATGATGTATATTATTTATATTATTTGTAGACTCTTGGCATTGTGAGATTATTATAAAATACAAAAATTGGAGTTTGTCTCCATGCTTTGTAATGAACAAAACATCAAAGGGGAAAATCCCTTACATTGCCTATTACAAGATCCATCTGAATGGGTGGTGCTTCTTTTTACTGAGATCCTCTTTCCTTTGGTGCTTATTTAGCACTGTTTTGTTGAACTAGATAACTTCTTCAGTGCATGTTCTATATCCCTTATTTAACAGGATATCTGTTTTTTGGATGGTCTTTTAAACCAGAAGGCATTTAGCTTGTCCAGTTTGGGGGGCTATGAAATGGGGATGGGATGTACCATCCAGCTGGGTTTCTTTCTGAGGCTGCTGGGATTTCAGAAAGGTATTGATATACCCAAATTCAAGTTTGCTTGTGTCAAGTTAGTGAATAACAGAGACGTCTCCCTTGGATTTTATTCCTTTTGAATTTTTAAGCACTTACGCAGCCAAATATAAGTGCATGTGAAGTGCAGCCCTGTTCTGTGTGATAGATGAAAAGCTGTTTGGGTGAGTGTATCACAGCTCAGTCAGCTGGGCCCCTGCTGGGCTTGGCTTTGTTGTTTTAAAAAGGGCTACATCCTAAAGTACCTCATTCTGTTAAATATTAGTAAGCCAGTACAGTGTATTTTGATCACTAAAGTTGACTGAAGATACATTATCTGCCTTGTGTGTTGTGTTTTGTAAATAGCTGGTTCCTGTGGGAACCACCTAAAAAGGTAGAGGCTCCTTGGTAGCACAGAAATTCTTTAAGCAAAGCTTGATCATAGCAAAATCTAATACAAGTTTTCGAAGAAGGATAAAAGAGGAGGAAGAGATTCAGACAGCTTTTTCCTTTTGTAAACTCACTGCTTTACAGGGGAAAAAAGTAACTGGAAATAGCCTGTCTCGTCCCAAATGAAAGGTTGTGGATTAAGGCATTGCATTAGTGAGACAGCTGCACGAATGTGAAACAGAAAGTCCTCCAGCTTCAGCCATTATGGGTTTGTTTGGTTAGGTCTAATTTTGGAAGTCATTATAGCAAAGGTAAATGACTTGCACAGGAGACTACTGTAAACAAAGGACTCGATACATTTACTTTGGCAGGAGCCTTGAGGAGTTTCGGGCCTTTCAGTGCCTCCTTTATGCAGCCTCCTGCCCTGCTCTCACTGCCCGGCTCTGTGCAGGCAGCTCTCACTTCCCTCCCTTCCCCTCCCACAGCTTCTTTTTCCCCTGACAGGTTGGATTTAGGGGTGGCAGCACCTGCTCTGAATTGCTGGTGTGTAGCTGTACAATACCTTTATGTTTATAGTATCTGTCCCTTGATTTCTAAAGCTGCTGTGTTTTGCTCAAGTAAGAATCTGTTCCCTCCCTCCCAGTCTGGTACTGGAATGCAGTTTCAAACACTTCACTTTTAATTGTGGCTCCTCGCTGGTTACTTTTTGTATGTTTTATCATTTAATAACTTTACATTTACAGATTCTAATACTGATGCTTAGCTGAGTTTTCTAGTTTTTCAGTGAAGATTAAACCATGAGAATTATAGTTCCCTTCCCAGGTCTCTACTCATGTGGTTCAGCGCCCATTCCACATATTTTTTCCCACTTGTGTAAGTGGAGAGGCAAATTCTGTGATGCCAAAAGAGTGGCCAGGCAGATCTTGCTTCTTCCCTTTTACAGAACTCCTTGTGAACACATTGTATGGCTGTAGCAGAGCTTGCATTGATCTCTAAAGCTGGAAGTATGAAGTAGAGGGACAGAGTCAGAATCCTCTCCTTGTGCACCCATTTTCCGGCACCTCTTTTCCACACTCCCTGGCTGTTGTGTGACCCAGGAGACTCCCCTTTGCAATCCCTGTCGTGGGTGACTTCTGACTGCTGGGAAGTGCTTTCAGTCAAGGAATATTTGTTCAGGTGTACTTTGACTCCTCAAACATGTGGGACAAACTCTAGTATTAATTATTTTGTTCAAAATACAAGATGATTATGCTGCATCTTCAAGAAGCCCATCCCTGCACGTTCTCACACACTTCATTGCCATGTGAGATAGCAGTGCTGCTGCTGGTCATTCTGATATAAAACCAGTACCAAAGGAATCTATAGGCTCATTTCTTCTGCTGCTGTAGAAGAGAGGATTATCTTTATCTCTGAAATTGCTCCCTCAATGCTTATTAACTAGAAATACAGTAATTGAGAAGCTGCTAGGAAAAGATTTTGTGTGATAGTAACCCTGATCTCTAAAATGGAGTATAGTAATTAGACACTGAAATGTTTGACTAGTATGACTGATATAAACAAGTCAACCATGGAATGGAGTACCTGGAAAGAGGTTTTATTTCAAGTTAACTTCATCTCATGCTGTATATACATCATGTTGGTGTGCTTTCAGGTCAGGCAACTGATTCTGAAGAAAAAGATGTGGGTTTAGCTGCATGAACTCTTTTGAACTTCCTCCCACCTGCAGGGTCTTTGTATGTCAGGAGAAGCAAACAGCTTTGGTTTACTGGTATTTTTCTCCAATGTCTTAAAAAAAAACCATAAAGATAATACAGAATTCTCTTAAAGAGAAACATCCTGCACTCCGAATTATTGGGAAAAAATGCAAAAGATACACCTTTTGAAAAAGATAGCATGATGTTTTGATTTTACAAGTAATTAATGACGTATAAAATTGATAAAATACAGACATTTTTTCCCATGAGGAGGTCATGTAATGTCATCACATCCTTCTGTATAAACTTAATGGTGAAGTTTGGTTATTGCCCCCAATATTTGAATATAAACCAAAGTCAAGTGCAAAAATTCAGGCTATATAGACTTGTTTTAAATTTCCAGTGTGAGATTCAGCCTGGAATTTCAGGCTCGGTGGTGTGTGACTGTCAATAGAATAGAAATTCTTGGAGAAATGAACTTCATACCATGAAGTGATCCCAAAGTGCTCCATACACTACATTCCTCAGGAAGTAGGCAGAAGGGGAATGTGAATTCTTAAACTGAAGATCCAACATCATTTACAGCGAAGTGTTATGAAAAACTGAATACCTGTGAATTTAATACCATAATCTTTTCATCCAACAGGCAGTATAACTGCATTTCTAGAAGTTCACGCTCATGGGCATTAGTGTATTCCTGATATGTTACCATGTGCTATTCCTCTTAATTAATGTCTGTTGTGGAGGATTGTTGTGTCCTTTCTAAACATCAGAATGTGCTTTAGGTGTAACATTCACAATAGAATTGACCCTGAAAATAGGATTGTATTTTAAAAAGGAGTTCTGCCAAGTCTGCCCAGATGTGTTGAATTTAGTAAACACTACAAATAATGTACTAAAAGCCCTGGCACTGGCAGGGAAATCTCTGGGAGCTCCCACTGAGCTTTTCTCTGCCTCCCACCCCCAAACCTTTAGATAAATAGTGGAGTGTGTGCATTCCCAGGAGCTGTTGGTCTCACTGGCTGGGGTTATCAGCAGCCTGAGAGGAGGCTCTCGGGGGTGTCCTTAAATTCTGATAGTTTAATGAATCTAGATTTGTTCTTCTAAAGTCTGAGCAGCCTCTATCACCGTGATTTAATTATTAGAACGGTCTCTTTTCACAAGACAGAACTGGATGTGTGTTATGGCAGTGGAGGGAAATGCAGGCAGGACCTGCCCCTGGGCTCCCCAGTGACAGGGCTGGGAGGGAGGGGTTGTGTTCCCTGCCTTCTTCGTGCTGCACAAGGCCAGGGAAGGCTCAAAAAGACATTATTTAAGTCTGTGAGGAAATACAGCTGCAACAGGAGGAATTTGCTGCTTAAGCCAGTTTCTTTTTCAGAGTTTCTGTTGCTATAGCCACATTATTCCTAGTAGTAACTGCTGGAAGGGATGGAAATGGAAAAAAAATTGGCCTGTTCCTTGTGCAACAGGTGCAGTGTTCATTTGTGAGCGTGGACTGAGCCGAGTCTCCTTCCCATGCCCAGAGAGTGGCTCAGGCAGCCCAGGCAGCAACTGCCCCAGGAATCTGGGATTTCTGCATTTCATATCTCCTGGAAAGATGCCAAGCAGAATTTAATTGCTTGTGCTGAAATCTTTCTCTGTGGCAAGATAGGACATTGAATGCTTTTGAACTTCTAAATTGCTATGGGACAGCCTGATCCAGCCTGGTTGTGTTTAATGTACAGACAGATAATGAAAGATCCTTCTCCATCCCACTGAGTTCTTTGATGCACTTCTTTGTTTTATGAATCCCAGGCTGACTTGAGGGAGAGGAAGGGAGTTCTTGTAATAACATACACGTTGGTTTTTCTGTTTAGTAAATTGACAGGTGTTTGGTTTTTCTTGTGTCTACCCAGGAAACCACGTCTTGTCTCCTGGAGAGGCCGTTGGAAAAGGTCTAACGCCAGAAGCTGCCAAAGATCTGGGTCTCCCCGAAGGGATTGCAGTGGCAGCATCTCTCATTGATGCACATGCTGGAGGACTAGGTACTCACTCATGTGTTACTATTCTTGGAGATGGGAATGTACTGAATTAACCTTAGAAAGCTGTTTTTCTCACAGCCTGTTTTTATCCAACTGATGCTATTCTTAAAAAAAATAAAGTCATCCCAATAACTGCTAATATTGTATGTCTGTTTATAGAAAGGAGCTATCACTGTTATTTGTCTTTTCAGCTGAATTTCCCAGTTCTTGGGTTTATATTCATACATATCCCAGTAACTTCTGCTAGTTCCACTTTGAATTCCAGAGCCCAAATACCATTCTGTTGGAATGCCAACATGCTAAGAGTTTGCATCTTCTGTTGCTCAAAACTTTGGGGATAGGCAAGAAAAATAAAAAAGTAACATTCTGAAGGAGAGGCCTCATATCTGAGGCTTGTTCACAGTTCGTCTTTCTGTTTAGTTTTAGAAGTGATTCATGCTTCAAGGCTTTAAGGCCTGATGCTTAGACTTTGTTTCTTTTCCAGCATCCTATTCTGATGTGCCCAGTTTCAAGTGTGTTGAAATGTATTTGGTAGGTTCAGTGCCTTCATTTTCTTACTATGTAGTTTAGCCTTATCTTAATGCACTCAATAACAAAGAGATTCAGTGTAACTTTTTCAGCAGGAAATTGAGGTTATTTAGTTTGATTGTTTAGAAAAAAGTACTTACCTCAGGAAGTTACAATGTCATTGAAACAGTATTTTTCAGTGGAAATCTATTGCTCATCAGAGGATTTTTCTCTAGGTTGAACTGAAATATGATTATCTGCTAAAATACCAGTTTTGTTTCAAATATTTTGTGCTGTTTTAAGTCTCATTTGTTCTTCTAGAAGCTGGAGTCTGGAACCTTTAAAATGTTTAAATCGCTTTACTTTGCTTCTGATCACTGTTTCTGATGAGGTTTAGTAATCATGCAGATTGCTTTTCTTACTACCTCAGAGGGATTAGACATAGATCTATGTGCAAAAAGGAGGACTGAGCTTTAGTGTCATAGTTGTAGGTGTGTTGTGCCCCTACTGTTGTGACTGACTTAAAAGTCTGTTTGTGTCAATTATTATCCCAACTGCATAAAAATGTGTTAAACTGTGTGCCTTGGCAGTTCTGTGTTCTTGGAAAAGGGTGTAATAATAAACTGACCTGAAATAATGATCTTGCTGCAAAACTGGGTTGTCACAGAGCACCTGGAAATGTGGCAGTGGAGGGACCGTGTTTAATTGGCATCATGATGTGAGTACTGGATCCAGAGCACAGGAAGTTTCATATGTTGAGATCAGTTAATTGAATTTAAAGAAGAATAGAGAGCAAGTGTCCATTCCTTTTTTTATAGACTTCTGTAAAGAAACTCTAACATTAGAAATGCACAACTACTGACAGCCCTCAGAGAAGGGCTTCAGTGGATTGAGACAGTCTGCTTATGCTAGTCCTGTTTATCCAAATATGTTTTCCCAGATGGCACCACAAACATGAGCAGACTACTGAAATGATTGCCAGGGGAAGGAAAACACAACATCCAGGTTGTTGTTAGAGAGGGAGAGGGGAATCACAGAGGGAAGAGTCAGGAAGGTAGTGGGAGAACCCACGTGGTGATCACAGGATAGCCCAGTACGGTCTGGGACAAGAGGAATATTGAAGATGGAACTCATCCTTCAGTCTGGGAAGGATCATAAATAGGTAGGGAAACTAGTAGAAAAGGCAGTAAAAATGAAAAGATTTTGATAACAGAAGTGACAACAGGAGAAAAAGGAGAACTGTAGAGTGCAAATGTATGTAAAGAGAATAAACAGTGTGGCTGCACATCTGAAATGCTGAATATAAATCCTTCATCCATAGCTGTTGATAACAAGAAATTTAAATATTTTTCAAGTCGAGTTTTACCTGCACTGTGTAGAATACAGAGCTGAAATTCCTGAAAGTAAAGCAGGGAAGCAAAAAGGAGAAGAAAGATAATATAATGAGAAAATGAAACTGTTCTGGTTAAAAGACACCAAGGATGGCAATGCACTAAATCATATTAATCTTTTAATAATGATTAAAAGAACACAGAAGAAAAGAGAGAAGAGATATTTGAAACAGTGAAGTAAAATGTGAAAATATTTGAAATAAATATATCTTGTAGTTGATATAAAACATCTGTTTAGAAAAGGCACTGGTGTATGTTTTAGTTCTTACCCTTCTGTGTTCTGTATTGAAATATTGAGGTTTACAATTTGTTGGAAGGATATGACCTGTAGAGTAGTAGGCATTAGGTTAGTCTGGGGGACAACAACATCCAGTGGGTGTCATTCTTCTTATTCTGCTGGTTGTTTTAAAAATAGTTTCTAACAGCAGAGTAATGAAAAGGGCTCTTTGGTGTCCTGCAGGCTAAACCAGAATGACATGATGGACATCTTGTCTTCAGTATTAATAATTTTTGATGCAGTTCACATCTACTTTTGGCTGGATATAAAGTGCAGTTTTGTTGGGCAAACTTCAGTTCCTGAAGTTTATGAAGGCTTCAAAGTTTTGAGTAAAATAAGGTATGGATAAAGAATTATTTAGTATTTGTGTTTGTGGAGGTCATGTGTGACTCCTGAATTGGTCCATCTGATACCTTTTATGGAAAAGTAAAAATCCAAGAGCTGAGTAGTTATGTCTTACATTTTGATGTACTGTACCAATTTAAAAGTGTACAGATAAAAATGTGAGTATGGGAGGCTAGGCTTTGGGACTGGCCTTATAAAAGTACTGTTTACATTGTACCTTTTCAAAAGACATCAGCATTGTTTCAACAAAAGTAGATAATTTATTATACAGTATCTAAAATACCTTGTCACCGTGGAGCAGATCCAGAAGTGCACATGCTAAACATTGCCTGCTTTCCTAAAAATCTTGCTTATGTTTTGTAGGGTGCACAGATTTCTCGTTCTTAGTGTCTCTTAAGATACTTCAAAAGATGTTGAGTCGCTCTTGGACTATGAAAAATTCCAACTAAGTTAGAGGTGAAAGTGACTTAGCCATTATATTATTTTTAACTAATACAATACCAAAGCTTTCATTGTTATGAGAATGTTCTGGACTCGTTTGCTCTCTGACTTCAATTAATCATGAATAGGAGGACTCTTGCAACTCTAAACACTAGTAAAGCCACCCTGGAAAACTCCAAAAAGGCCCAGAATGCCTATTTTGCAGAATGTATATTTTCTTAGTGATTAAAAAATATCTGAGCATGGAGTCGTTAATTTTGTATTGTTTATGAAAATGCATTTTTGACATGTGTTAACAATTCAGTTTCATAGATTTGGTCCCTCTCAAGTGTGAACAATATTTTTAGCTCCTTTAGAAATTCTAATACAGTGTTGCTTAGTACAGGAAATTGCCTTGTAGACAACTCTATCCAAAATGAACTCATACATGTCATGTTGGAGCAGTGAAAAATGAAGCATATGAGGTAGAAGCCTTACTTTTAGCTTTCTCTTGTTCCTGACTGTCTGCATGACAGCTGTGCTACCACATAATTAAAGGATAAAGGGGCATAAGGACAGATTATGATTCCTATGATTATTGAAGACTGTAAAATTTTAGCCCATTAATTTTCTGATTATTTAGATGATTTCCAACCATGATAATACCAGGATAACCATGGCACTCAAAGTAAGACAAACCCCAAAAGACTGTTGCAGTGGTGACCTAAACAAGAAGGTGTTAATGAAATGTAGGATATGAACCAGCCACAACACTTGGCATCCTTCACAGTGTCCAGCAAGTGCTTTCATGATCCTTCTACAGTGAGGGGAAAGGGGTTTTTTTGGCAGGATTGACAAACTGGTATCCAGACTGAGCATTGCAGATGCAGATGCAATGAGCAGTCTGGTGACCAGTTTGCCAGTTGAAAAGTGATATTCAAGAGGAAAAAAGACAACTAAGAGAATGTCACTTGTTGGGCTGCTGCATTTTTCTGGGTGCAGCACAACTTGGTGCAAGAATGCAGCCTGGGAGAGGAGGAGGAGAGGCCAGGATTCCCACTGTAACCTCCCATGGAGTGAATCAGGCAGGATGTGATGTGTCTGAGGCTTGGCCGTAGGTTTGCCTGGCACCTCTCTGGCATCTCCTGGGTATATTTTCTGCTGCAGCCTGAGTGTTGCTGAGTTTGTCCTCTCTCCTATCCTGTCCTGCACGCAGAGGCTCCTCAAAGCCAAACTCAGTTCCTCTAAGGGAAGGAATAATCTCCCTTTAGATGGTTTGACACGGACAGAAGAGCAGCAACAGTGAAGACAACAAAGCTGGCAGCCTTCCAGTCTCCTGCCAAGTTACCCCTTTCTCCAACTCATCCCCTGACAAAACACATCATCTGGGATGTGCATGATAAACTGTGAACAAATAAACACATCTGCAGCCTGCCATTACAGCAGGGCACTCTTTACTCTGCATGTCAGTGTGCTACCTAAGAGAATATAGTCAGGTTATAGGCAAAATAACACTGAAAAATCATGATGATAAACATGAACACAGAAGAAATCATCTTCTGTCCTTGTATCTGGAATAAAAATTTTATTCTGATGGATAAAATAATTTTCTTTATTGACTAAGTAGACTTTCTTGATTTGTGGCAGTTGTGTCAGATTATTTAGCAATCATTTATGTGCAGAAGAGCTCTATTTGGTGAGGCGTGGCTTGTTCTTCTTTAAAAGAGAATTTTAATTTTATTTTAATAGGAGTAATTGGAGCAGATGTGAAAGGACATAACCTGCCATGTGAGAACCAGCCGATTACATCCCGAGTTGCAATGATCTGTGGAACATCTTCGTGCCACATGGGGGTAGGTTGTGTGTCCTAATTTGTACAGAATATACTAACTTATGTTTTTGAAGGGAAAAGTGACCTTTGTCCTTCTCACCCAGTTTCTTTCCCTTGAATTTTTTCTGGTAACTCTATCTTTTCCTTCAGATATTAATTATAAATTACCGTGCATTTGCTATTAGGCAAGAACTTTAATAGTAGTAGAAATCAATACTGAAAAATGACATGGAAAGTAAAAACCACGATGCCAGAGTGGCTTAAAGAGCAGCCTGAAATCTGAGCCAAAGACTCTGAGCCTGAGTTATCTGTGACAAGCCTGTCACTAATGTGTTGCAGAATAGTGGCTTTGGAGAAGGAGTGCACGTCTTCAGTCACAGCCCTTCTCCCCCACCTCTTCCCTGAATCAATATAAATCCTTCTTCCTCTGAAAATTGCCATGATGTATAGAATTATGATACTTATCATGACTAAAAAGAAGGAAAACCCCCAATAAGCAGTTTTCACGTTGCTAATTTTTCTCAGTGAATTAATACAAAAGCTTTCTCTGAGATTGCAATTAAAATTTAGTGTCTGCTTTTGAAATTTATGCCAGTTTAAAATGTATGAGTCTGAGAGCATTCCATTTAGATAAGTACCCTTTTCTGCCACATTTTTTATTTAAAACTCATTTTGGTCTTAAATTTAGACTGATTATAACTTGGATTTTTCCAAAAGGAGCAAATGGCCCGGGGAGTGCTAGAGGTGTTAGAGAGGACTAACATGCTTCATGGAGAAAGCGGCAGGAGAGACAAAGAAAGGAGGCTGATAATAAAACATCAGGCTTAACAGTAAGTTAAGTTGTCTCTGTAGTGACAGTGTGAATCCATGGTGATCTTGAGCATGAATAAATGGTGATCTTGTCACATGGACTGTCGTTCTGCAAAGCGTTTTAGCACATGATTGAATTTAAAGATGTGAATAATCCCACTATTGTGAAGCAGAGCATTGAACAAGAGCTTAAATCCTGTAGGCAAACTGGAATATATTTAGGCTCCTTCCTAAGCAAAAGTTTCAAACCTCAAACTCCATCACTTTTGACTTGCTCTATCTCTGAAAAATTCCACTGGTACCTCTGTGTCTGTCACAGGGCAGGTGGGGCACCTGCAGGTACTAGCCCTGGGGGAAGGAGTCACCCTTTGAGCCTGCCACTACTTTCATTACTTCCAGGTTTTTTGCTGGAGGTTTCTGCCCTTTCAGTAGAAGCTGTTTGAGTGAACTCTTCCTAACCTGTTTCATATAGCTGAGTTAGTTTAAATTGTTAAAATTAGTTGAGTTAATAGAGACATAATACTGGACTGAAATGAGCTGAGGAGCTCGCAGGCAGTTTCCCCCAAAGGTCTAAGGGCAGCCTTGAGTAGCTGGCAATGGGCCACCTGGCTCCATCTTATTCCTTTAGGACAACCAGCCCTGTAGGAGCACATGTATGTGGTTATTTATTAATTTTTAATATTTGTATATTAGTAAGTTCTAACTAAACCCAGTTCACAAGTATAGATTATTTTGCTTCCCAGACTAGAGCGTGGCACATCAGCATTGACAGTTCCACAGCACTTTTTGTGTGCATACTCCACAACCATGAGAGATGTGGCTCCATTAAATATGCTAATAGAACAAAAGGGACTTGAGAAAGTCCATGTCAGTATTCTGTCATTAAAGCAACCCGAAGTCAAACACAGACTGCACAAGGTAGAACCTTTTAAGGCTCTTAATCACTTCAATGCAAACTTGGGAATAGATGCTTGTGCAGTTTTTGGCTAGATTTAAGTGGATCTTTATTTAAATGTAACTACTCAGCATTTTATAATCATTTCCTTAACTGCCTTCCTTCACTCATCTGCACAGAGGTATAACAATCTGTAACCAGCAGACAATAAGCAAGTTCTAAACTTCTCTGGATTCAATCTGTGAAAGGACTTTGGTTTACTGTTCTTTTATCTATTACCTGCACAGGCTGCATGAAGTGAATGTACAGCACACAGAGCAGTTGTATTTGTGTTTTAATGAGACCTATATGCAGCTGCATTTGGCTGAAATTAGCTGTTCCTTTTTTTAATTAGGGCTATAAAATGAAAGTATATTATACTTGTGTTTTGATAGAAATATATATTTTCTCTCTCTGTGTGCACCAGGGGACCCTCAGGGCAACAGAGATTAATCATCGAGTTTAATTTAATGCAGTGGGAGAGAGACCTGTGTGGTCAGGCGGGCACTAAAAAGTGCCTTTGATGTGCCTCAGGTGCACTGAGCCCCAGTGAACCAGCAACAATAATACCTTTGTGAGATGATCAGAGAGGAGAGAGGGAGAAAATGGCCTGTGTGGAAACTCAAGGCCGTCCTTTGTTGTGGTTCTGGCAAACGAAGGAGCCAACTGTCAGGAGAAATTCAGCAAACAGAAAGCAGGGAGAAAGTATGGCTGGATTTCTTTCAAGGGACCGTAACAGGAAACTGTTCAAAATCATCTGCTATGCCTTTCTTTCCCCCGCCTTCCTCCTTTTTTGTGAGGGCTGTGGTACTACTGTTGGTGTGTGTGTGTTGCTACAGTAGTGCCATTCTCTACACCAAATGCTCCATGAGTCACAGGAGCAGGTATTGCTTGAACACAGCATTTACTTTAAACTTTGAGAGAAACTACTCCTTGACCCAGTTTTCATTACCTCCAGGACTCTAGAGATCTTAAACAAAAGACTTTACTAACCATACCTTTGATATTTTAGAAAGTACAAATGTGGAACCTAATTTTACTCATGGCTATAATAGTTTAATTTGTGGTACAACTACCATTTTTAAGTGAGGATACGCTTTTGGAATTAACCACTGACAGTTTAAGGTAATCACACACACACACACGAAGAATTTTGTGTTTCTTTGAGATACTTGAATAGCTCATGAAAGCAGCAAAATGCATGTTGTAATTAGGTTATTGATCCCAGTCCAGGTCTGAGTTGTTAGTTGTTCAAAATCACTGCCACCTCAGGGCTCATCATTATCCATGAGGAAAAAGAAATGAAAAGATGGTCTTCTGAATATTTTTGGACAGTTATTCATTTTACATGATTCTCTGCTGCCTCCCTTGCCCTAGCAAAAGTTATGGACAGAATTTGCATGTGGAATGGCAAATAAGCTGTCCTTGCACTTGTGAAGGATTGTCCCTTGGTTTGGGGCTGGGATTCATCCCTGCAGGTTTGATCCATGGGTATTCCACTCCAGTGATGGACACTCACAGATGACTTTTCCGAATGGCCTGCTTCCATCATGCTTTGCAGACAGGGTCTCTGGGCTCCAGCACCCACACTTAGCTTTGGAACTTTTTAGCCTTTCCCTGTGTAGCCATAGCGACTGCACAAAATGTGTGAGTAGTTTTTCCCAGCAAAAGAGCAGCAGGTTCGAGGCCCTGAAATAGGAGCTCACATGTCACTCCTAACTCATAGTTTGCAAGGGTCTAAGAGACATGCCCTAACTTCTGGGAATAAGGTAATTGGTTTCCCCAGAAAACTGCCAGTGTCCTAGGGTTTTATGGGATGTTTTAAATGTTTCAAAAATTTTTTTTTTCTTCTGAAACCTTGATGTGATCAGGAGGATTTCAGGCTCAGGTATCTGTATTCCCATATCCCAGCCCTGAACACAGGCGTGTTTGCCCTTTTGCAGATGTGTAAGACCACCAAGAATTGAGTTAACTCTCAGATGCAAGTTAGCAAAAGCTGAAAAGTAACAGGGACAAGCAGTGTGACAGGGGACTTGGACACAGAAATTTTCCAGTATTCCTTGTGGCAAGTAATCTGGCAGTACTGCTGCTTCTGTCAGGTTTTAAACCAAAAGAGGGTTGATTTAGACTAGATCTTAGGAAGAAATGTTTTACAGTGAGAGTGGTGAGGCCCTGGCACAGGTTGCCCAGAGAAGCTGTGGCTGCCCCATCCCTGGCAGTGTCCAAGGCCAGGTTGGATGGGGCCTGGAGCAACCTGGGCTAGTGGAAGGTGTCCCTGCCCATGGCAGGCAGTGGAACGAGTTGGCCCCTTAAAGGTCCCTTCCAACCCAGACTGGGACCTTCATGCAGGACAAGGAGAATGTGCATGCAGAGCTACAGGATCCAGACATATCGAAGAAGAGAAAACTGGGATTTTCTTTTGCAGCACCCCATCTTCTCTTTTGTTTCTATTTTGTGGTGAATCTCAGTTAGAGATCAGTGTTCTGCTTTGTACTTGTCCCAGAACAGTTGTAGCGTCATGAAAATATTTGTTGTTCTTACTCTAAAACCTTTTGTGATTCACAGCTGAAGGAATTAGCAGGAGCATCTTCCAATGGGAACATTGTCTGGCCTATTTTCAGCTTACTGAGGTGGGGGGGCAGTGTCTGAATTTGATGGTATTTTGAGTCCCAAATACAGAAGGTTTGTGCTACTTCCTATCCAGAGTCTCTGATATTTTTTTCTGTCTTCATCTGGGGATGTGGTCTGTGTTCTTCTTTAGTCATTCCTTCTTTATCAGCTCTCAGCACTTCTTTTTGGGGATTATCAGGGAACCTTTTCAAGTTTAGGTGTAGTCTCTTTTGCATCTGTTTTTGTTACTTCTCTAACTCTTGACATTGGGAATGGACTCACCTGGCTTGGTGCACAGTTCTTTTTTCCCCAGGTGATATTGTATATGTGGTTTGAAGTGTATGATTTAGTCATTTTTTAAATTGGAGAGGGACGAGTAATTTATCTTCTATCTTTTTAGATTTACTGTATGTTCTAAAAGACAGAGCAACTACACAAATAGCAAAATGGGCAGATCATTTTGCTGTCCAAGTGTTTACTATTTATAATTTCAGGAAGAATATCCCATACTCTCTTTCACTAAGCCTGACCAGCCTTTGAGTGCTTTTTGCTAAAGGAACTTCAGCCCATTTTGCTTATTCTAAATTTGCTCATTTGATTCTCGTGATGACTGGCAAACACAATAGAGCTTCTTTGCTCCACAATATCCGCCTGAGCTGCCAGCTTTG